GAAGAGGAGCGGCTTGCCAAAGAAGCGGCAGCCAATGCAAAGAAAGCAGAAGAGGAGCGGCTTGCCACAGAGGCGGCGGCCGAAGCCAAGAAAGTGGAAGACGAGCGATGTGCCAGAGAAGCGGCAGCCAATACAAAGAAAGTGGAAGAGGAGCGGCTTGCCAAGGAGGCAGCGGCCGAAGCCAAGAAGGTGGAAGAGGAGGGACGTGCCAAAGAAGCAGCAGCCAATACAAAGAAAGCGGAAGAGGAGCGGCTTGCCAAGGAGGCATGCCCGGTTGTTGTCACAGACTTGCAGCTGCAAAGCGCATGTGAAATGGATAAGGTTGTACAGGGCGAGCCAGCTTCAAGCAGACCTCGAGCAGATTCCCCTTTCTTGACCGAGGCTCTTTTTGTCGGTCCTTCGCATGTTGATAAACTTTCCATTCAGTCTTGTGATTTAACTCCGTTGCCTCTCTTTGAACGGGAAGCATGTTGATTATTCTCAATCTAGGAAGCGAGACCATCTGAGTCCGTCATCTCAACAAGGTTGGGCACTGAGTCCGTGCAACCATTTTTGCTGCTAAGCGGCCATCAATTTTGTTTACGCAGAGGATGAGTGGGCTTGCTTTGGTTAAAGCAAAATGTTTCACACACTCACAATGATGTCGATGGAGCACGCTGATATGCAGTTGTTGTCCAATGGTCGTATATGGTCCTGACACCTCTTTGGTGAGCTTGACGAGGTTGCAATTGTTCAACACAACTCATGAGCAGTTTGTTCAACCTAGCATCCAATGTCTCTGAGAGATCTCGAGTCTCAAGGTCTTCGCGTCCAGGCTGGGATGCAGTTGAGTCCGGGAAAAGGGTGAATCAGAGCAATTCTCCAAAGGAAAGCAACATGGATGCGTGCTTAATTGGGGTGCTTCTTCAGTTGTTTGTCAATGTTTGTCAGACAACTTTGCTTGTTGTTTTCTCCTAATTTGCCTCGGACCAGAGCTGTTTCAATACACTTAGGAGTTGTTTGTATGTCCAATTGATTGAGCACAATAAAACCAATGTTGCAAAAGTATTGGGAGACCCATAGGCCCTCACCCTAGAAGGTGGAATGCGGCCTCCAGAAAGGTTTTTCAGGCATGTTTTATTATGCAATTCGTCTTCACCGCAAAGTTTTTCTTAAAATACAGTAGTCTTCACTGGCCTTAGATTTCAAGTAGCTGGCCACAAAGGTCAAGCATCCACAGAGCCTCGAATGTGGTGTGCTCAGTTGGAAATGTTGAGAGGTGGACTCAAAACACATACGTCCATGAATTGTAAAACGGAAATCTTCGCACCAGCGACGCATCTGGTTGCTAGTTGAATTGGACTCATTTAAGAACCTTTGTTATCCTTTGTTGTCTATGTGTGATGACATGTTACCCAAAACTAATCTAGGCTTCAAATGATTGCTAATCTTTCTACATGCTTCGCCACAGCTTCCCAGGTCTGGGCCACTAAAGCTGAAGTCTGGTTGGGGCTGGTGGTGGGCCATACTCTCAGTGTTGGACTCGACATTAGCTCGGTGAAAGTTCTTAATTTGGGTCAAAGGTTAGTCTTTCGTCTACTGGCTGCCACTGAGGCTAAACGACATGTCAAGCTGACAGGAGGTAAGCTTCAATGGTGGAGGAAGGCAATCGGGGAAGCAGCAGTGCAAACAGTCGTGCACGGATCATGGAACTGGATGTTGAATGTTCATTGTTCTCAATGGCGAAGCGTAGGCGGCAGAAGGCTTACCGGATGTGGAGGTGCAAGCTTCAACCATCTTCGAAGTGCGACAGCAGTGGTTGACACCTTTCACAGCCTTTTACATATCCGTGTGTATCAGACGACTACCGGATTGTATCGTTTTTCCCCCCCCACACATCTATACACAAACTTGTACGTTTGTAATTAGCCTTGTTATGCCTTGTTTATACGTTGCATGATTACACCCTTTATGTCGCTTTGATTTTACTTGGCCTAGACTCTAAGAAGCTACTAGGGGCTCTTGGCCTCGCTACTAGGAGCAAGGACGCTACTAGGGGCTCCTGGCCGTACTACTAGGAGCAAGAAGCTACTAGAAACAAAGGGCATTTCTCTAGCCATCATGGCCAGCATTTTGATGAGCTCTTGCAGTATCGCCTCTCCGACGGCCTGACACGCTGGGTGTTGGCGCGCCACGAGGCACCGAGAGGGCCAAATTCAAGATGTTAGGAGGTCAATGGAAGTTGTTATTGGTGATAACATGTGATAGTTATGTTGTTTTTTCAATGCACCATGTGTTCACATCAGTTATATATATATATACACGCCTTGCAATTGGAGTCTACAATGTTGAGACGAAGTGGACACAAAGATCTCCTGTATTTGGTCAGCACCCGCACAAATATTATGTCAAGCGTTTTCTCCCCAAGCTGCAAATGCTTCATGCAAGCATGTTCTGTCAAGGGCCCTTAGGGACTGCTCTTTCCCCTAATCCAATCTTTGCTTGTGCTGCGCCAGGGCACGGACTTGGAGATGCGATGTGAGAGCCGTGACAACCATCATGGTTCAAAGGCGATGGTTGAATCAGCGTTTGGAGTCAATCTCTGGTGGAGTCAATGTGCAGTAGCATACCTCTCCACACAGCTGGGTTCTCCTGTACTGGAAAGAGGCGTTTGGAAAAGGTTAATGTAATGTAAAAACACACACAATACACATATTTTTTGAGTTACTCATGGCAATGGCCTCCAACCTAATAGCGATGGCCTCCAACGTAATAGATTCCAGGAAGTGTCCATCCAAATTCATTCACCGGTCAAAGTGATGTGGAACAAGTGCTGGAATTGATGTGGAAGCAGCATGTGGAGATCACGAGGCCGTTGGCGAGAGAGTGATTCTCCGGGCTCCCAGTGAGGCGCCGACAACTGCGGGCATTTGTGCCAGAACTATTTCTCTTCCTAGGAGCAAGGACGCTACTAGGGGCTCCTGGCCGTACTAATAGGAGCAAAAAGCTACTAGGAACAAAGGGCATCGCTACTAGGTGCCCAGGAGCGTACCTTTACTCATGCTTTGATTGCTCATGCTCTTCGCGTGTCACATCCGTTTGAGCTCTCTGAGGTTTGAGATTAATTGGCTAGCTTGCGCTCTGCACAGGCAGAAGCCCAAAAATGGAAGGACGCATTGATGGAGCAGATGGAGTGCGCGAAGGGTCGAGTTCGTTTTCCAAATGAATGTAAGACAATTTGCAGATGATTCGCACTGACGCTGCTCTATTTGTCAGCCAAAGAGAATCATCCAATAACGATAGTATTGTGGCGATTTGCAGGTACGTGGAAATGTTGTTGGCGTGGCCAATGCACTTGGATGGCCGACAAGGTGACATAAGGCACCCCCTATTACTGTAGGTGCTTCATTGATGACGGAATTTTCTGACAATGTATTATACAGATACAGCCATACAGCAGTCATTGAGTCATTCGAAGAAAATAGACCGTACTAGACCTGTCGAACAGTCCTCATCTTTTGGACAAACGCTCGATGGGTTGATTTTCATTATGCCTCCAATGAGGACTTTCACGATATCAGTTGTTCAGCAATTACAGTGAACAGAAGTCAACCGAGTTCAGTTGAAAACTTCATTGTTGCTGGCCGTGTCGCCTCTTGAATGCCGGTTCAACGACTTATGGAATACTGTGAGTTGCTAGGTCAACATAAAATTGCCAACTGTGGGAGACTAGCATAGACCCTCCCACCGTCCAGCAAGCCAGAATTATTAAGCATAGAAGAATGCGCTGGCTTCCTGACAGGAACTATGGTATCGAGTATCCCTGAGGTGGCATTTGACGACAGCTCTACTGTTGTGAACAGTGCCACAACTTAAATCTGTACATAGTGACGCTTGCACCCCAGCAAATAGCTTCCAGATACTTTGTGCAGGTGTAGGCAACCCATCAGCATAGACACGAAGAGGCCGAAGAGGTATGAAGTTTCTTGGGCCGGTGTTAAAACGGTTGTCGAGCTTAAGCGTCCTTTGTTCCGTGTGTTTTTCCAAATTTGATCGTGCAGGTCTTTCCATACGTTACATTCCAATCAGTTTCAATGCCCGTCGCTGCATCAATCCATTAAATGAAGGTTATAGGAAGGTAATGTACCAAATTGAACTTTGTGGTTGGAATGGCAGATTTGCCAAACGTGTTGAACATGTCTCAACGAGCAAGTAAGATCCAAGGGTACCTGGAAGATTTGCCAGACATCGCACTCACAAGCCTCAATGCCTCAAGCAATGGCGCTCGAAAAAGACATTGTTTCGTCGGCATATGTCTGGATGGTACTCTTCAGGCAGCTAGCTAGGCTTGTCATTGGTGTTGGAGGTTCCCGACACCACATCAAAGCTCTTTTTGCTTTGGAATGGCCAATCAGATTAGGTTCAAAGCGAGAAGCAAGCGAAGAATCCAATATGCAAGTGTTTGCCAAAGAGACCGAGGGTTGCTCGGAAAGTTTTCTCATGTTGGGTTTCCTTCAAAGACTCTTGAAAATCGAACGCGTTCACAAGAAACCCAAGCTGCAGTTTCAAGCAATACTTGCCTGCAATTTGCGTTTGCCCTTTCCTTATCGTTTGCCATGGGAGTGTGGGAACTCAGTGGCGACTGACAATCAAACGAGTTGCTTGAGAGGATGATGATTGAAGGGCTTTGGGTGCACGTGTCTCGCTCCGTCGCTCCTGCTTCACAGGTTGTGTCTCAAACCTTCAAGTTCGTTTTTCTACTTCTTGGCTTTGTTGCCTGTGGGCCACCTGGCAGCAAGCGCAGGTAGCTGAACTTGTTTTCACAAAAACGACTTTGGTCGACTCTTCTGCTGTGCAAGATGGCTTCATGTGACTTATGTTGTCAAGTCGAGCAAGCGAGAGCGAGCATTTGTCGGTACTCAAGCAAGACAGCCACGGTCAAAAAGGATTGTATGTTGCTTCGCGGGAGAAATGTCAACCCAAAGTTGTACAGATTCCTTTTTGTTGTGCCTCAGGCTGATGATTTGGAAGGCCTGTTGAAAGATGTTGAATACGATGGCCATCCCATTGCTTTACAACTTCTGGTCAGGCTATTTGACTGATGCTCTGGCGTCTCTTTCTTTTCTGGACCTCCTGTAAAGACACTCCTCCACTAACCACTGCATTGTACCATACGGATCCATGCGGGATCATACGGGAAGGTACATAGGAGCAGCGATGGATATTGTCCACTATATTGTCCATAAGTGCAGCTACCAAAAAGTACATTTTTTACCAAGTACATTCGGTTCTCTGCAGAGTAGATTCTTGACTTTTCTACCTTTGGCTTGCGACAAGCCGCTTTCCGCTGCAGAAAGGCAGTTGAACACCAGGTCAGCGAGACATGTATTTGGTTGTATTTGGTTTCGAGCGGATGTTGAGTGATGTTGATGTATTTTTGTACTCTGGCTTATTTCTCAGAAGGGTTCAAGGAAGCCGAGCCGCCCGATCCCTTTTGTGTCCGTAGCTACCATTGTAGCTACCTGACCTAGCTTTTTCCCCTACGCCCTCCAAAACATGGTCCATTTCTGGGGAGTTGGTGATAGCTACATGCCAGACGCTGCAAGTGGGATATTTGGCGATCGCTACAGTTGTATCGTGCCAGGGCTGCAGAGATCATTTCAATTAAATTTGGAATGAGCCATGTCAATCAAGTCAAAAGGGGGCTTCATGGCCAAGACTGCGTTGATTAATAGACTCTATACATCAATCCATGGATCTTGTGTAGGGGCGTAGTGCGGACATATGAAGGTGTTTTTCCAAGCTTCTTTTATCAAAAGTCTTTGAATTACTGTATCCTGAATCCGTAGCAAAGGGTTCTTGTTTACAGTCGGGGGGAACGACTTGTGTTCGCCTTGTGTTGTCATGTTGTCTCGTGTCGGACGCGTCGCGTTGTCGTGGTCCTGGTCGCTGTCGTCGTCGGAGGAAGCTTTTCGAACAGGTCTTGGATGGAAGAAGTGTCTGATCCGCGTGAAATAGCAGGTACGCAATTTGCTCTTGAAGCGCTTGCCTCGAAGCTGTGCTTTCGTGACAAGTCTCAACTAAAATGGCGATTTTGGCTGATGTGAGTGTGCTCAGAAAGTGTCGAAAACATTGCAAACGTGTGGTGCGGTGCAAATGCTCAACCTCTCAACGCTCGTTTTGGAGACTTGACACTAAGCGCCTAAGTGCTTGCTTTGAAGACTTGGCGGGTCACTTTTGGAAGAAGTCTCATGCAACATGCTAGGGTTTAACGCCGTACATTTGGAGGAAGTCTCGTACGAAAGGCTCGTGTTGAAGGCATTGCGCTTGACTTTTGGAGGTGATCTCGTTCAAATGTTTGTGTAGAAAGTCCAAAAGGAGTGACCCACAAGAGTTGTCCTACACGAATGTCCGACAAGATTGTCCCGCAAGAGTGCCCTAAGAGTGCCTGCCCTAGAAGAGTGTCCTACAAGAGCGTCCCACGAGGTGTCCTACAACGGTGTGTGCAAAAGAGTGTCCAGCAAGAGTGTCGCACAGGAGTGCCATGCAAAAATGGCGCACAACATCGCACAACGTGTCCCACAAGAGTGTCGAAGAGTGTCATCCCAAAATGTATTTGAAGAGTGTTGATCAAGAGTGTCAAACAGAATTTGGCCGCTTGCGTTTGTGTACGTGTGTGCATTTGGGTTTGTGGGTGTTTATCAGGTTTTGTGTTCTGGCTTGCCGCTTCTGTGCCGATTTCTCATACCGATTCATTGACTGCACCACCAGTTGCAGTTCAAGGTGGCAAAGGTTCGTGCAAGTCTCGCACGCTAACAGGTGCGGAATGATGTGTTCGACTGAATCTACAAAGAGACAGACTAAGAGTCCCTTCCCAAGAATAACAATTGGAAAAGATGTCCCGCAATTTTGGACATGGCCCCTGTTGTATCACCCATGAATCATAATCACTTGAGGCGTTTCCCACATAAGAGAAGCGGCAGCACGCGGCGTCCCTAGGTGCACTTTGTCCTTCCTTTGTAGCTTCCGCAAAGACTCTCAATCATATAATTGGGAGTCCAGATCTCAGTGATGCTGTGCACAAGAGATCATTTTACAGTGGCTGGTGAGTGATGGTGCCTTACAGCACAGTATTTCTTGTTTCACTCATGTGGTACTTGTAGGTATACTGGTTTGCCTGTATTCTAACACACTAGCACATGTTGTGAAGTAGCCAGAACCGTCTTTGGCAAGCTGGTGATCGCCAACCAAGTGATCCCAAGGTTCAAATAGCAGCGGCACTTGGCTGTGGCATTCGCTTCTGCAAGAGTAGTTCTCAAGTGAGGAGGGCCACAGATTGGTCCTACACTCACAGGGCGCTGCCTCCCACTGAGGCAGCTGACCAATAGTTTTTCTGCATGTAGGTAGGTCTTTCTGACTGAGCGCACTTTCACCAGCTGCTTTGTGAGTACACATAGGCAGATTCAAGTGAGTAGACAAGCTGCCTTCGAGCATTGATCAACCCCGAAAGGGAAAGACTCCAGCCAGTTGGCTCGAGGGTTGTCAATGCAAGAGCTGAGTGTAAAAGACACTCCAAGAAAAGGATGGAGCTGGACCGTGACAGTGAGGCTTTTGGCTTGGGTCTTTGAGAGTTGGTACATCAAAGTAGAATGGTGTGACATTGGTCGGTTGTCTCAATTGCAGATCGACAAAGTTTGGTGCATACTGCATACCATTGCCATGGGGCTGTGGTGGCCCCTTCTGGAGGGTCAATGTACCACCCTGCCTGAGGTCTGTGCACAAGGCTTCCTGTACTCGGTTAGTTTGTGTTGAACTTGATAGTGGATGTTTACGAGGAGTAACAAGGAAATCGCAAGTTGCCTGAACTACACTGGTGCAGGTTAAAAGATGTTAAAAGACACAGATATATATATATATATATTAGCTTAATCATGTTTCAGGTCTGGCAGGCTTGGGTGAACATGGCTTCATTTCTACCATATCTCATAACTAACGAATATTTTTGCTCAAGTGCCTTGGCCAGAATAGCGTTTGTTCTCTCTTTTTGAGGGCGGGACCCTTATAGAGAGGATTTGCTCAGGGAGGGACCCTGATACCCCATGAGCGCTTTGGTACCGGCCTCGCTGTGCACACCAGGTACCAGGTGATCCATGCGGCTGCGTAGATGGAGTTCATGGTCGCGGAGGGGCGCGAGCGGGATGCCTGGCGCCTTTGGGCCTCTGTGGTGGAGCTTGTCCACCTGGGTTCCCCGAGGCCAGCCCTCTCCACCGCGGGGTTTCCCCCTGTCAGGCGTTTCGTTGCGCGAACATCCCCTGTGCCCGTTGCACGGATCGTCGGGGCGGTTTCCAGTTCCCATGGATCGGAGTGTGGAACCGCCGCTGCCTATTGGTTCAAGAGGGACTTGGACCGGCTGAAGCGTGGCAGCGTTATCATGAGAGGCCGGCGCGCCTCGACCTTCTGGCGCTTCAGTGGCTGGCGTCGGACGTCGGCCCGTTGGACATTTTGCCCGTCCACGTGGGTCTGGCCGTGGAGCGGCTGGACGAGGGCGCTGATGGCATCTCCGTGGACGAGTTCTCCTTCTGGTCCGATGTGGGAGCAAGGGCAGCGGCCATGGCGGGAACCATGGTCCTCTTGGTGGGGACATCTGGCCTCACCCGCGAGGTGGCGAATGCAGGGCGGGCTCTCCTCTCGATCCTGGGCGCAGTGGCGTCCGACTTGGAGTTCATTCCCCCGTTGTGCCTCCTCTGTCGCCAACCCACCTTTGAGTCCTGTCGAGTCTGTCGATCGATCGCGCGCGAGAGCTGCAATTCTGGTCACGGCAATGCTGGCATGTGTTTCTGCATTGTCAATTGCAGCAACAAATGGTGAGAAGGGTGCTTGGATTGCTTTGAAGCATGTGCTTGAAACAGACCCACTCAACAAACATCCGAAAGCTGTTCG